TTCCAAAAAGTTGTTGTCATCCAGAGTTGACTGCAGTTTCGACCTCGTCTAGGTCTTAGCAATACTCCCGACAGGAATTGAATCAGGACTGCATTGTGTAAACTTGACACATTGACCACTCCGCCTCATTTCCACGAGTGCTCTTGGTCTACAGAGCAAATGTGAATTTTCAGGAAGGTCAGACATTTATCCTTATCATATTCTCTTGTGGAATTATCGATGAAGCAAAGTTATATTTGGTACGACAATTGACTACATTACTTGTTTTTCATTCATCAGTAGGATTTCGAGACTGGCAGCTAATCGTTTTTAATAAATGTGTTCACCCTAGTGTTATAATTGTTTGGCTAAAATCCTATTTGCTTGATCATCCCTTTTTAAATTTCTGATTCCTTTTGAAAGCTATTTCATATTGCTTAGAAAAAATTAAACATTACACTTACACATTTTTATACGAAAAAGTTCTAGCTATCAATCCAGCATTTTAAAGAACCCAAGGATTTATCCAAATTCAGCACATCAAGTGGCGAATAAAACATCTGATTAAATGGGGGTAACGCATGACCTTAGAGTAGTGAGACCAAAGCATAATACTATCCACATTTATGTTCATTTTACCAATTTACCTACATTTTTCTTTGATTCTGATTCTGATAGGATGATAAGTTTTCAATGATGGTTGACTTCAAATAAGGTTTTCTGGTGCATTTGCTTTGGGCAAACAAAGGCTGCAACCTAATTTTTCCTATTGTGCCACCATTCCAACGCTGAAGAAGTTTATTACTATCGAGGTTTTGTGCTGCTGAAATATGGAAGATTATTTGTTTGTTAATATCAACATGAACTTAGATTTCAACAAAAATTCCTTGCATATTTTTCTCATTTTTTCCCTCGTAGTCTTGGTCCCAAGGCAGCTACCATCTGTGGGCTGTCTGTCAATTCGCTGTGGACACTTCTTTTGCTCCAGCTCGGGAAGCTGGCAAATCCCTTGGCTCTCAAGACCCTTCTTCTTCTTCTTCTGAATCAGTTGTCTCCGAGTCCCACTTCTCTGAAACCAAGTTGGCTGCCATAAACGGATCTCAACTTCATGAAACTGGTGAGCAGCAGTCACTCATGGAAAACCTTGATACCCTTCTTGACAAATCGGACAGAGCTCATCTGCTTGTCTTTCATCTGGCAAAGTCAGCCTTGTGTACAAACCCAACATCTGTGAGTTTTGTCTAATAAACTATCAATTAACTCTCGATTTTACTCTAGTTTAAGTATTCATAAACAGTTAGGTTTCCATATCTCTACTCCCAACGAGAGGGGAACGTGGGACTTTAGGTTTAACTCCATAAAACTCGCCTCACTTATTCCCCAACCTGAAATTTGATACACTACTAGTGAATCATTAAGGTTATACGATGGCTATTTGCCTAATTATCCTTTAAATGTGTCTATAAATAGCCTAAAACATAGTTAATTAGTTTATTGCAGAATTTAGCGACGGAACTGGTGGATTGGCAGTAAGCTAGTGCATCAAAGAATCCATAAACATTATTGGATTAACTAGATGGAGATGTCCATAGCCTCTGGATGGTCGAAGTGGGAGAGGCATCAAAGATTGGCCTCCGCACAGCTCTCTTTATGTTGAGATTTGATAAAATTTTCAACCAAAAAAAATTAGGGGGTTCTTGCAGATTTGAATTCTTCAATGGATCCACTATATTTCTTTTATCAGCCGTTTAACTTCTAGTTATTTGTATAATATGTACTCTCAATACAGATATATTGTCTACAATGTGACTCAGTATACTTTAAGCTCACTACAAACCTCGGAGTGATGTTGCCTGCTCCATGAGGAGTAAGGATGGCGAGTAAAATTTAGCAAAGCTCAATATTCGCTCTATCCTGTTGGCCCTATTCTAGTTTGAGTGTTAAAGATACTCTTTTAACTTTAGCTTTTCGGGATCTCTGGAAATCCGGCAGCCTATTTTATAGTGTCAGTTGTATGACAATACACTTAATTTATCTCATTCAATATATATATGATTTGCTCTGATATCATTGCCACTTTTACCAGACATTTCAACTCAACGATATCATCTAGCACCAGGCTGTCTACGCTCATATTCTTTTTTCATTTCCTTCTTTTGAACCCATTTATTTGACGCAATTGCTTTAGCCTATTTATTGAATTTTACCTTCTTGTTATACGAATTAAGGTTTCTTGGCTTATGAATCAATACCTTTCCGCCGTTACTCTTTCGATTATTGCTATTTAGCTGCAACAGTACACTCATACTCTTAATTAATCTCTCAAAACATGTAGTTTATGTGAATTGTAGCAACCAAGCCAACTTATCCTCAAAGGTTACTCAATCATTTAAGAATATTTTTGTTGATACTTTATGCTTGAAAATTCATAAAATCTCTCGGCGTCGAAAGATTTATGCCAATTCTTGGCTGTAAGTTTAGAGATATGTCAACTGAACTCATATATCACTCATTTCATTCTCAATGATTCGGCCACACACAGAAAGTATTAACTAATGAAGCGAGAAGCGTAGGTTTTATTCTCTTTCCAAGGACTAGCTAGCTCAGAGATGCTTAAAATAATGGTGATTTAAACCGTAAAAAAGCCTTTTAGAAAGAATCTAATTACATTTGGTTAACCTCTTGACGTAACTTTTCACGAAATCTCACTTTAACTTAGCTTCACTTCGTCTCCGTTTTCTATAAGCTGACGTTACTAGAATTCATGTAACTTGTTCAAAGCAAACAGACAACTTCAATTTTGACAAACTCACATAATTTTCATCCTTTCCAAAGACCATTCATTATTCATCATTTAAATAGTTTATATTTTAAAAAATGATTAGCTTTGGCTATGAATTTGTTTCTAAGCTTCACAGTTTATTAT